CGCCCGGCCAGCATGATTTCTTTTAAAACATACTTTATGAATTTTGGGTGGAGTATATAATATATGTACTAGGATACATATTTCAAATGGTACCAAAGGGTGTACAGTGACTATGTTTCCCAGTTTCTTTTCACACCTGGCCCCTACCACCCAGTTTGACTCTTAGCAAGTATAACCACTGATACCTGGATGTATCCTTCTAGAGATATTCTATACATATATAATTTAGTCAATTGTCAGATGTTATTTTCACTATAAGGAAGAAAAAGGAATCATATTAGGAAGAGATAAGATTATGGATTTTTTCTTTTTGAGTGCCTGAATTATCTAACACGTATCTTTTATAAACTTTAATAACTAACTGAGCAAGGGAAGTAAATGGTGTGTATCTCTGCTTTTTCCTTCCTCTTTCAGAGCACTTGGCATGACAAAGAGACAACCTTCTTTTCACTTTGCTCTTGAAGTCTTCATTTATTCAAGGAAAATTTAGAATTATTCCTGTATCTGGCACTCCCCAGGACCATTAGCTATTTCAGTTTGCTAGATGGTTTTCTGAGCCACTTGTTTTGTTTAGTTCATCAAAGAAATATTTATTTGGGTCCCACATACTGTGCTAGTTGTCAGTAACTCAAATTTGAACAAAATGTGGTCCCTGCCTTCTAGGCCCACAGTCCCCAACCCCCAGGCCGAAGACTAGTATGGATCTGTGGTCTGTTAGGAACTGGGCCACATAGCAGGAGGTGAATGAAGCTTTATCTATATTTACATCCGCTTCCCAGTCACTGCCCGAGCTCTGCTTCCCCTGACCTCCTGTCTGGAAATATTGTCTTCTATGAAACCGGTCCCTGGTGCCAAAAAGATTGAGGACTGCTGCTCTAGGAGCTTGTACATAAATAGTTGTAATTCAAAACAGGTAGGCAGAGAGAGGAATGGACTATTGCCCTGGTTTTAAGAAGGGGTATTGAAGGCTTCAATTTTTTAGATGAGAAATCCAGGGTGTAACTGAACAAATATCTGTGGGATGTATACAGAGGGTGTATTGTAGAAATATTGGTAGGTAATATTAGTAAGGACATATTTGCCAATTAAGCATCATGTAAGGTAGAGAGAAGAACCTGAGTCCCAGATTTCAGTCTTGGGAATAAATACATGTCACTGACCAAGATACCCTGGTTGTTTAGGGGGAAGATGATGACTTCAGTTTTGGACATTGTTTAAGGTGCCTGTGAAACACAAGACATCTCCCATGGACTCTTGGATATGGGTGATGGGAATTTTGAGAAGGCAGATTTAGACCCACATTTCTGATCTTCTGCGTATTGATGTTATTTAAATCAAGGGAGCTGATGATATTATTCAGGGAAAGAATGTAGTGTAAGAGGAGATATGGACAAAACCGTCAGCATTTAAGGCAGGCAGAAGCAGGAATAATCTGAGGTGGAGACAGAGAAGAATCAGAAGAGCTTATTGTCCATGAAGGCGAGGCAAGGTCAGCAGGGTAGGATGCCGAAGAGAGATCAAATAATGTAACAGCTGAAAAGGCGTCTATTAGATGTGTCCATAGAAGGTCATTGGTGACTTTGGTGAGAACAGTTCCATTTTGGAAGCTACATGTTCTCATCATGCAAGTGGATTATTTCTGTTGGGTTTTTTGGTGGTTAATTCAATTCTGTTAACCTAGTTCTGTCAAAACCTCAAACGCCATCAGGATCTAGCAGATAATGTAATGAGTGAAGCGGGCTAGAGAGCAAACGACCCATCTGAAGCGGATAAACCCTACATAGCTACAGATTGTTGGTTCAGTTTTTCAAAAAGGCCATATTTTTGGATTTTAAAAAAAATTTATAAAGTTGGCAATTCAAAGAAATTTTAAAAACACTATGTTGGCAAGTAAAACGCATCTGTAGGCTGCATTTGACCTTTTAGTCTCTGTTTATTATTTAATTTATTATTTAATTTTAGGTTTAATGTGATAGTACTTATCTAACATGCTTTCTTTTATTTAGGGTGTTCAGAAAGAGGAAAGAGAGAAGTACCGAAGGTTACTGGAACGACTTAAAGAAGGTGGTCATGGAAACTCTGTCCCTCCTTTAACGTCACATCATCACAGGTGAAAATGAGCTAACAAGATAAATGCTGTGCTAGATATCTTTTTCCGTGTTTTGGAGAGGGTATTGGTGGGAGGGGCCTTGTTGAAAAAAGAGGTTAACATTAAACTAGCCCTATAATTTGCCTGGACTTTGTGTCTAGTAATGGATTATATAGAACAGTGGTTTTACAAAATAGAATTTTATGTTACCTTTAGAATTCTTTATTGAAGTGAACTCTTACTAGAAACTCTGGTATAGAAAAGTGGATCACTGATTGAAGTGGGGCTCCCAGGGGCAGAGAGTTTCTTTAACCTCTCCAATATACATGTCTTGAAATCTCTGTCTTTCTGCCTCTCTCTTCATTCCTCCTCTCCTGCCTATTTCTCCCTTTCCCTTCCTTCCTTTCTCTCTCCTTCACTTCTTTAGTTTCTCTTAGAGATGTCTTTTTTCTTCCTCATGCCTTCCTCCCACCCTGAGACACACATAGTCTCTGAGGCATTGTAGTGATTGCATCTGAGTACAATTGGAAACCTTTTACTTTAGAGACAAGATTAAAGTCACCCAGGTCATAAGAATTTTCCTTATAAGACAGCTTGTTAATTGAATACTCTAATGATTTGAGCAAATAGATGAGAATGGAAGGAGGAGGTGATGTCTGGCCTTATATTTGCCTGTGAAAAGAAGACAAAAATGTTTGAGCTCAGGATTGAGGTACACTCGATAATTCTAACAAGTGGTATGAGAATATACAGAGATCCCAGAAGTTATGTAACAGCAAGTTGAAGGTAAAAAAGTCACAAGACTTTTAGCTTGTTGAATGCAGAAATAACAAATTATTTGGGAATTTTAACTTTGGTTGTGAACGTTTTAAAAATAATTCTCTTAATTTAGTCAGAATGTTAATATTTTCTCCGTTTTGACAAGCCACTATTGGAAGCAGCAGTATATTTAATGAACTATTGGCTTTGTCACATTGGCAAAGTCCTTAAACTATTTTGCTATTTTACGTTCCTACTTTTAATGCATTGATTCAGGATCCATTTAAATATATCATTTAAAATTGTTTATCTTTTTTTTGTTGTTTTGAGACAAGAGTCTTGCTCTGTTGCCTGGGCTAGAATGCAGTGGCATCATCATAGCTCCCTATAACCTCAAACTCCTGGGCTCAAGTGATCCTCCTGCCTCAGCCTTCCAAGTAGCTGGGACTATATGTGCCCACTACCATGCTCACCTAATTATTTTATCTTTTTGTAGAGATGGAGGCTCACTAGGTTGCCTAGGCTGGTCCCAAACTCTTAGGCTCACGTGATCCTCCTACCTCGGCTTCCCAAAATGCTGGGATTATAGGTGTGAGCCACCGCCAACATTTTTTTATCTTTTAATCTGAGTTTTATTACACTAAGATTTTTCAGTGAAGGTGTCAGTGGGGATTGAGAACATCCAATTTTACAAATAGAAAAACTGGATATGAGGTAACTTGGCTAAAGTATTAGAATCAGGATTAGACTCCTTTTATCCTAGTCCCAGATAGTAGTACTGTGTTGCTTCCTCTCTGTTGTAATTTGATGTTACAGGGTAATCAATAACCCCCATTTGGAGAAGCTTATCGGACAGAGATAATGAATATTAATGGTAGACTTTCCTTTTGTATCTGATCTCCCTTACTTTTTGTGTTTCTAAGTTCTCAAAGAAGTCAGATGGACACATTAAAGACCAAAGGCTGGGGTGAAGAACAAAATTACGGAGTCAGAACAACTCAATTTGTTCCAAAACAATGTGAGTTCCCAGATTTATTTAGCCTTGTCTTTATGTATTGACCTTAGTTCTTGTTAGAGTGTGCATATGAGGTTGAAAATTAAAATTTAAATGAAGATGGTAAACCAAGTTTTAAAACGTTATCAAACCTCAAGGCATTGACTGGGGCTTATCCAGTATCAGGAGTTTAACAACAACAACAACAAAAAAAAACAAATACTGTTTCAAGATGAAGTAGATTCATAAAATGGCTCTTGATCATTATTCCTAGGCTCCTGTATAGTAGCAAATATTTGGTGAGCCTAAATTTAATTTACTTATATCAATTTCCTTATATTTTTCCTCTGCCCACTAAATGACAGTAATTGAGAGCTTACCAAATGAGAAGATATCAGTTAGTTTATAGTAAAGATTATACTTAAAGAACAAAGAGATGTGTTCATTTTTAGTCAACTTAATTTGTAGGAAGGCTAGCATCTTTAGAATTCACTACAGCATTTCAATGTAGATGAATGTTTTGATACTTCGGAGACTGTGTAAGCTGAAATTCTAGCTGCATGATTGTTTAGTAAAGGAAACATTTAATCTTTTCTTTACTATCCTCACAGATACACTTGTTGAAACAAGGGGACCTCTATATTCAATGAGAAGTGAAAAGAGGTACATGGTTCTTTAGTTCTTTCTAAGTTTTCTTTTAATATATATTTTCTTACTTTAAAAGTTCTATTTATGAGTAACTAGGTCTGAGGACTTGTGAACTCTCCTCAACTCTGGTAGCTGGTCAACATATATGGGTAAATAGGTAGCTCTTATGTCAGATACCCACCTTTGCTTGGGAGGGTACCCCTTATCTCTTAGGCTTCAGGGCTTGGGAGAAGCAGGTACTTCTTGGCTAGAGTGTAGGTAGAGTGGGCATCCCTCTAGTGATCAGTGTTTCTAGTATAGGAACAGTGAAGGCAGTTCTGCATGTCTTAGGATTTTGGATGATAAACAATTTACAGCAGAGTTCATAAACTATGGCTCACAGGCCAAATCTGGTCCATGCACTTATTTTTTTGTAAGTAAAGTTTTATTGGAACACAGTTGTGTTCATTCATTTACATACTGTCTATGGCTGCTTTTAAATTATACTGGTAGAGGCGAGATGTGAACGAGACCATAAAACCTGCAGAGCCCAAAGTATTTATTGTCTGTTTCTTTTTGGAAAAATTTGCTGAACTCTGGTATAGAGGATTATATAAACTCAAGGCAGTTTTTGTTTGTAAATTATTAAATTTTTCCCTAAAGCTAGCCTGGTCTGTACCAAGTTAGAATCATTCAGCAGAAGTTTATAATCTGTCTCAATTTTTTCCCTCAGGTGTTCAAAGGGGAAAATATCTGATCCAGAGAAGACACTCAGAGTCAGACTTGAAAACGAAGGTGTAAGTAAAAACTCTAGTTAAATTTTATAACTGTTTACTTGATCACCTATGTTTTTTTTGGTGCCCATGAAAAATAAGAAGAGTGATAGATATATATTACTTTGATTGCTAATTCTTTTTTGAGACAGAGTCTTGCTCTGTCACCCTGCGTAGAGTGCAATGGCATCATTGTAGCTCACTGCAACCTCAAATTCCTAGGTTCAAGCGATCCTCTTGCCTCAGCCTCCCGAGAGTAGCTGGGACTACAGGCTCATGCCACAATGCCTGGCTAATTTTTCTATTTTTACTAGAGACAGGGTCTCACTTTTGCTCAGGCTGGTCTCCAATTCCTGAGCTCAAGCAGTCCTCCCGCCTTGGCCTCTCAGAGTGTTAGGATTACAGGCGTGAGCCACCATGTCCAGCCTGATTGCTAATTCTGTTGTTTTCTTTTAAAAAGCAACAGGCATTAAAGATATACAACTTTTTCCTTCCTTATGAGTTGTGTGATTTTTACCTCTGTAGTAGCCACCTTTGTTTACGAGAGAGACCAGCCTGCCTCCATACTAACCCTTATCTCTGTTGCATGGCATCTTTTGGAGAATTAAAAAAAAAAATCATAGGTCTCTGTGAAAGATATGACTTTGTTTAGGATTTTGTTTTCAGAGTTAAGATTTCAGATTTACTTGAAAATATTAGCAAATCTTATGCTTAAATTGGATTTTATATTTTCTCTGTAAGTATTGGAATAAGAATTGTGCCAGTGATCGCCATAGCAATACCAACATTTTTAAATAATGGCAAAGTGTTTTGCTAACCACTCCATGTCCAAAAGAAATATATTCCTAAATTAAATGCAAACTTGAGTTTTAGGTTATTACACATTTTAGATACATAGAAATACAAAAGTTTAGGGAACTATTTTGTATTGAGTATCACTATTCGGTTAAGTTTGTGTTCTCCCACTAGACCTCTTCATAAGAATTTTTTTAGTCTTAAGGTCAAGTCATCGTCTTAAGTCATAAGTTAGAATTTTCCCTTCTCTATGTTCTTGACTTCCAGTGATTCCGAATAGAGCCTTTGTGTTTAATTATTATTTGTCACCTGTGTAGCAAAAGCTGAAGGAAGAGGGGAACTAAGTCTCAAGAGTTAGAGTGAACAGAGTGGGGTATTTGGAACCTGGCTAAGGACTACATCCTGCTTTTATCCTTGCTGAGCCCAAAGACCACTGTCTGGGACCATAGGAAGGGGCAGCAGCTGCTGGTTCCTGAGGACCAGTGTACCTGGCAGTTATCTAGAGTAAAGAGTACTGGTTAGGTCTCTTGAGACTAATGTGATTCCAGTCCAAAGCTCTATTTCTAAATACACAGTTGAGTGCAGCCTCAAACTCCTGTGCTGAAGAGGTTCTTCTGCCTCAGCCTCCCCAGAAGCTGGGACTACAGGCCCTTGCTACCACAACCAGCTAATTTTTCTATATTTTTAGAGACAGGGTCTCTTGCTCAGGCTGATCCTGAACTCCTGGCCTCAAGCAGTACTCCTGCGTAAGCCTCCCAAAGTGTTAGATTTACAGGCGTGAGCCACTGCACCCGGCTATTTCCTAATTTTAAAATAGTTGTTTGCTAGATGACTTAAATTTGGTATTAAGGGTTGCGATAGGGAAGGGTCTTATCAAAGTTTCTGGGGTGCTGGCAGAATTCTGTTTGTTGACCAGAATGTTGGTTATATATATGTTCTTTTTACAAAAATTAATTAAGTGGTACATTAATGTTTTGTGCATTTTTCTATGGTATATATATATAATCACTTTTTAAAAAGATAAAGTATTATGCCAAGGGCTTGAGACATAAATTAAACAAATAAAAAGATGAAGTAGAATAAGTTTACCTAGTATAAGGATAGCAGTAATTTATTCTGATGGGATTATGGGTCATAATTGGTTTTTTAAACTTTCAAAATGTCTTTTAACCACATTATTTTAATTGGGATAGGAGAATGGAAAATACTTTTTTTTCCTACCTCCAGGGAAAGTGGTGAGTGTTCTGTTTCATGGTTTGTAATTGAGGTATCCTGTGAGCCTTAGATTTGGAGTTTTTTTTTTATTCCCTCTTGCAGGGCCAGGCAGATATGCTAAATCTACTTTACTCATTTGAGGGATTTGCTGATTCTTTTTTCTTTCACGTTAATGGCACTGTTATATTTCATGTGTTATGTGTGTTTATATTTGCAAGTATCAAACATGTCAGTAGAATATAGAAACTTTTTTGATCAGAGGAGGGGACACCAGCTGGAGCCTGACCTATCAGAAGAAGTGTCAGCCCGACTTCGCCTGGGCGGCGGAAGCAATGGCTTACTCAGGAGGAAAATGTCAATACTTGAGACAAAGGAAAAGAACTGCTCAGGCAAAGAGAGGGATAGAAGAACAGATGATCTGCTTGAACTTACAGAGGTATCGTTCTTTGTATTGATCTGAAAAAGAGACATATTTGTAAATAACCTCAGTTATTCTAAACTTGAATGAATATTTTGTTTTGAGGACTTTCTCCAGGCTGGGGAGAAATTTATGAAAAAAATCTGGCCCACGGTCTGTTTATTCACTTTGTCTACATTGATCATTAGTGAACTATGAAGGTAGCCTAAGGGATCAAATAAATATTCAGCAAATGTGAGTAGACATAATTATCACATATCTTGGAAGATAACGGATTCTTTGTAGATTCTTTTTCTAACCTGCAAATACGTTGGATTACATGGTATGGGTTTGGCATTAGGAGTAAGTTCATTGTGGTTTTTTTTTTTAAAGTGATTATAGTTTACTAAAATGTCTCTTTCATTGACTGTTGCATTTGAAAATAGTAAAAAATTACAGAAAACAAGGAATGTAGTTAAAATTCTTATTTTAAAGCTATACCCACATCTTGGCTCCCTCTCCATTGTTGTCTTAGTAGGTAGTAGTACTATTCAGTGACTATCTATTGAACCCTTATTATATATTGAGCATGCAGGTGGAGAGAGAGGTTCATAAGATAGTAAAATTGTGTGCAGTAGGAGGAAGCAGTAGTAAACATATTTAGAGGAAAATAATTTTTTTTTTTTTGAGATAGAGTCTCACTCTGTTGCCCTGAGTAGAGTGCCGTGGTGTCAGCCTAGCTCACTGCAACCTCAAACTCCTGGGCTCAAATGATCTTCCTGCCTCAGCCTCCCGAGTAGCTGGGACTACTATGGGTGCACCCCACCACGCCCAGCTAATTTTTCTATTTTTAGTAGAGAAGGGGTCTCACTCTTGCTCAGGTTGGTCTTGAACTCCTGAGCTCAAGCTATCCTCCCACCTCAGCCTCCCGGAGTGCTAGGATTACAGGCATAAGCCACCGTGCCTGGCCCAGAAAATAATTTCTATTGGGTTTGTAGATCATTTTTATAGTTTAAATAATGCATTTATCTGCATAATTCTTTAGTATGATGAAGCCATCTATCTATTCAATAAGGAGTCAGTTGTTAGACTACTGCCTGGTTTCCCAGTTTCTACCTGTTTGCTTATTCTCTTCATGTAGAGAATGAATAATATGACCTCTCAGATGTCCTAATTTTATTTTGATGTTTTAAAATGAAAGTTTATGAGGTAAATCAGGATTTTGGTGTTACGAAAGGAGCAAAGGCTAGGAAGCTAGACACACCTAGGTTCAAATCTTGGCTCTACCTTTTAATAATTATATAACTTTAAACATATAAAATAAATTCTCTGAGCTTCAGTTTTTTCTTCTATAAAATGATAATAATACCTTTCCTACAAGTAAGAATTAATGATGTGCTTCAAGCATCTAGTACCATGTTTGGCTCATAGTGTTCAATACATGATAGTGGGAGAAAATTGAGACTATACTTTAGATGTAATATCATTATTAAATTATTGTTTCCAGAAGCTAATAATTGAACTAGCATTTCTTATAACCATTATTAAGACTGCTTTGTAGTCTTGTTTGAATATTTTCATACTGCAATCGAGTAAGTGTTTGATAGTATATTTTTCTTAAGACTCAAGTGTTTACAGAGATGAAAAATGTTTTTCAGTCTCAGACTTTCAGTATCTGCTAGTGGTTCTGTATTAAAATAGCAATCTCTGGAATTTCTAATTCAGGACATGGAAAAGGAAATCAGTAATGCCTTAGGCCATGGCCCACAAGATGAGATCCTAAGTAGCGCTTTCAAATTGCGAATTACCCGAGGAGATATCCAGACATTAAAGAACTATCATTGGCTCAATGATGAAGTAAGTTGTCTTTTTTTCCCTTTGACTATAATGTTTGTTTACTATCCATAATCAAAGTGATTTCTACCTGATTGTAAGAAGTCAGTAAAGCAACTTTTTGTTTTACTTAAAACAAAAACATCTTAAGCCTTAAAAAGATAGTTAATTCTGATTGTGTTCTGCCTTTAATTAGCAATTCCCTCTCCTGTATCTATACTTAGTTGCATCCATCACTTCATTTACTAGTCTTCAATGACATTTTTGTAAACTCTGGGTACAGCTGAGTGAGAGGAAGCACTTTATTTTAGATGAATTCCTTTAGGAGCCATTTTATTTTTTCAATAATAAAGGGATATATTGATCACTATGTATTTTTCTTTATTTCATTTGAGTGATAATTGCAAAATTTTGCTCAGTGTGTCATCTTGTATCCTTATATATTTAGCAAAAGCTCTTCATTTTTTTTTTGTTTTGTTTTGAGACAGAGTCTTACTCTGTTGCCCAGGCTAGAGTGCTATGGCTCAGCCTAGCTCACGGCAACCTCAAACTCCTGGGCTCAAGTGATCCTCCTGCCTCAGCCTCCTAGAGTGCTAGGATTACAGGTGTGAGCTACCATGCCCGGCCTCTTTGTTCTTCTTGTCAGTTTTCCAGTTGGTTCTTTCCCTAAGTACTCAATCCCCGCATCTTATCTTCTTCCTTTGTCTTCCTTCCTCTTTTCCCTGTGACTAGTTACCAATAAATGTGTTCTTTTACAGGTAGAATGTTTTGTTTCACATTATAAATATAATATGTTTATTTTGGAAAACATAGGAAAAATAAAATAAAAATATTACTGTTCAAAATTGTCACCACTCTAAATATTAATATTTTGGTGGTTTTTTTCCAGTTAATATTTTAAAATTGAGGTCTAATTTACATATAGTAAAATTCACTACTTGTTAATATTCCTGCATATTTTTTGTGTGATACAGTTATGTACACCTTTTCATTATTGCACAGACTTTCTCCTTGGGTTCCTTCTTTTGGTTCTGTTGTTACTCATGCTTCAAAAGTACAAATTCATTCCTTTTTAATCCCTTCCATTTTTCACTGGTCACTATTTTCCCCGTCTTTTGCTATAGACAGTCCTTTTATCCTCTTTTAGTACCTTACCTTTTAATTCATCCTTACTCAAAATAGAAATTTAGTTCTAATAATATACTTGCCATGTTCCAACTTTTATTCTCTTGGTGTTTTATAGGTCATTAATTTTTACATGAATCTTCTGGTGGAAAGAAATAAAAAGCAAGGCTATCCAGCACTTCATGCATTCAGTACTTTCTTCTATCCTAAGTTAAAGTCTGGGGGTTACCAAGCAGTGAAAAGATGGACCAAAGGGGTAAATCTCTTTGAACAAGAACTTATTCTGGTGCCTATTCATCGGAAGGTACATTGGAGCCTGGTGGTAAGTAGAAGGGGTTAATTGTTAGAATTTGGATAAAGACTATTTTTTAAAATAATGCTACTCTTTTCTGTCCAGTGAACGGCCAATAGTACTAGGTTATTAAGTATGAAATGTTTGATTTCCTGAAGTACTAAGTTAGTTGATACCTCTGACATTTCAATTTGACACTTCTTGTTTTATTTTTATTGTGATGATACATCCTCATTCTTTCAAACGCATGGTGTGGCTTGTGATTATCTTTCAAATTTTTTTAGAGCAATTTCTGTGAAACCATGGGTAAGTAAAAAATTCATGTTGTTTTCAAATACGAGTTCTGTTGTGGAACTGCTGCAGCACAGATAGCTTGAAATATCAATGAAAAAGTGTTTGGGAAGGATGTGGCTAATGAACACACAGTACATTGATGGTTTGAGAAGTCACATTCTAGTGATTTTAATCTTGCAAATGAGCCACGCAGTGACCTGAGACCAAGGTGGATGATGATGAGCTGAAAGCTGTAATGGAAGCAAATCTATTTCAACCTACGCATGAATTATCAGCAAGGTTTGACGTTACCATTCCAACAATATTGGACCATTTGAAACAAATCGGCAAGGTGAGGAAGCTGGATAGATGGGTTCCGCATGAATTAAACAAGTGTCAAAAGAGAAATCATCTTGAAGCTTGCCTTTCTTTGCTGTCACAGCGTAAAGATGAACCATTTCTCTACAGTATTGTTACATGTGATGAAAAATGGATTCTTTTTGACAATCACAAGTGTTTGGCACAATGGTTGGATAAAGATGAAGTGCCAAAACAGTCCAAAACTGAATATTCATCAAAAAAAGCTAATGTTGTCTGGTGGTCCAGCACTGGTATTATCTGCTACAGCTTTATGAAACATGGTCAACCAATTATAGCAGATGTCTACTGCAGTCAATTGGATGAAATGATGGAGGATGCTTGTGATTAAGCATCCAGGATTGGTCAATAGCAACAGGGCAATCCTCTTGTGAGACCACATGTTGCACAAACAATGCTCAAACTACAGCAGCTGGACTTGGAAACTGTCTGTCATCTACCGTATTCACCAGACCTTGCAGCAACTGACTACCACTTCTTCCGGGCTTTGGATCACTTGCAAGGAAAAATATTCAACTCTCAATAAACTGTGGAAAACACCTTTCATGATTTCATCACCACTCACTCTCCAGGCTTCTTCGCTGCTGACATAAGCAAGCTGTCATTAAGATGGCAAAACTGTGCTGATAGTTTAGGCACATACTTTGATTAATTGTACTGCTTCTTGTTTGAGATATAATAAACTAAACTTTTGATTCGAAATTGGAAATTTCATATTTAATGACCTAATATATATTATAGGCATTATCTGCAGAGTCTCTTTTTAGTTCTTGAGTTGAACACCTTAGAACGCTTGAAGACATGTTCCCAATACTTGAGGAGCTTTCATTTTTAATAGGAAAGAGTTTTAGTATACATAGGGTTATTACATCTATTTAGTTTTGTTTACAAGATGGTACAGGTTTATTGTAGAAAAATAAACATACAAAGAAGGCAAAAAAAAATCTCATCACTCTGAGAATGTTTTGTTAAATAAGTTTGTAGGAATACAAATATATAATTTTAAACTCATATCATCTGTGATATTTTTTAACTTGTTTCTTTTTTTAAACAAAAAATGTCTTAGAAATACATTCATGCTGGTACACGTATTGATTTTTTTTAAAGATGCTTTTCTTTTTAAAAGCAAAATTCTCCTGTTATATTTAAGATGTTTCCAGATGTTGTATTTTTCCATTATAGGTTATAGACCTAAGAAAAAAGTGTCTTAAATATCTGGATTCTATGGGACAAAAGGGCCACAGGATCTGTGAGATTCTCCTGTAAGTAAAGGTTGAAAACTTTACTGTTGTCTCATTATATCCTTGTTAGGTAATCTTTCTTCTGTTTAATCCTAGGAAGCTCTCTGTGAATGGTAGTCTAATGTATGGTTAACAACTGTCATCCCAGTTGTTCTCAGGACTTAACTTGAATCTGCTTTGTTTTTGTTTTTTGTTTTTTTTGGCCTAAAAATAACCTAATATCCGATCTTAACTGAGAAGTCTTGTTTTAGTAGCATATTGAAAACAAGTTTGTGTTACAATGCAAAATATATCTTATTATTATAGAATCCAGCCTCGAGCTGTGGCTCCTGCCTGTAATCCCAGCACTTTGGGAGGCTGAGGCAGGAGGATCAGTTGAGGTCAGGAGTTCGAGACTAGCCTGGGCAACATACAAAGATCTCGTCTCTACAAAAAATAAAAAAAAGCTTTAGCCAGGCTTGGTGGCACGTGCCTGTAGTCCCAGCTGCTTAGGCTGAAGCAGGAGGATTGCTTGAGCCCAGGAGTTTGAGGCTGTAGTGATCTATGATCATGCCACTGCACTCCAGCATGGGTGACAGAGCAAGACCCCATCTCAAAAAAAACCCTAAAAAGGCCGGGCGCGGTGGCTCACGCCTGTAATCCTAGCACTCTGGGAGGCC